ATTCTTAAATTTACTTTAAATCAAAACTTTTGGTTTTACAGATTAAAATCTTTGTCAGATTGTGGCAATCAAAATCTACTTGTGAAATCCTGTGGTTTGACAGATAAAGATCCAAATATAAGGCTTTGACAGATTGCAAATTCAGATGCAAGTTCATAACATTTGTTCTGGTTTGTGTTTATTTATTTTTTCTTTCATTCTGCAGTAGGTCTTTTGAAGAAGTGCTTTGCTAAATGCAGTTGGTGATCATCAGGATTACTAAAATGGTTTGTAGGCACTTCAAGAAATGTTTAAACATTGTATTTGATTAGAGCTACTATTGAGTGAATGATTAGCATTGGGAAGTACTGCAAGTAGTCGCAAGGATGTAGATCACTAAGAAGTATGTTGGTGAGATGTAAGTTGGAGAACATCTTACAGATCTTTGACTTTTCGAAAGATTTGTACAAAATTGCTTAACCTAACCACAACTTGCAAACAGAACCCTTTGAGGAAGCTTAGTTGCTTTCATGAAGGTACAATACCTTGCTTTTGAAATAAGGATAGTGATCGATGATCCACTGGTAAATATCACATAGCAGGAGCTTCTTTTCATCTGAATCCAGGATGGCCATGGAAATGAGGGCAATGTAGGACTGCGCTGGCTTCTCGTCCGTTCCTTCACTCTTAAGATTAGTCTTCTCGTGTTCTTCTTCACATCCGTTTTCTTCATTTTCCTGGTCCTCTGATTTTTCACTATTCTGTTCTGAGAAAGTTTCATTGACTGTGCATTGAAGACCTTCAGATGGAGGGCCATTGTCCTCTGGTTCTGCTCTCTCATTGTTGCATCCCTTATTGTACAACAGATAGTCATTGGTGAACTGAAGTCCCAGTTGTTCTTGATTGCTGCGGCATGCGTTGTCCTCCATTTCTGTATTGTTAGATCTTGGAATCTGTCGCTTAGTGGTTGAAAATTCAGTTTTTGGATCCAACTTTATAAAATTTTGTCCTGGTTTGACTTTCTTTGTCTTTCCTTGTGTGTTCCGTCTTTTCAAGAAGTGCTTGCAAAGATTAGTCCAACAAACGATTAATTTGGTAACAGATGTGACGTCAGTCTCTGAGGCATGTGTGAATCGAGTAAACAGGTAAATGCGTTCGTTAAGTTGTGTGTTTGTTCGATTAGCCACTTGTTCGAAAAACACCACCACCAGTTGCGAATCTTCCTAGAAAGCCTCCTTCAAGAAGGACTTCTCTTGCAATAACCAGATCGTTAACGCCACTTAATTTAAATGCTCTGCATATTTAACCACGCAATTAGAAGCAAAGTGGGGTACAAGAGAGTTAGAGGCAGGGGGTCTAATTGAGGGAGATTATTTTCATTAAACCAAGCAAATCTTTGTAATTACGAGAGATTACACAGATTATTGTTTTTGATTAATGTAAATTGTCTTGGGTGGTGGCTGCAGTGATACAACATGACCTCTGGGTGTGCTTATCCTGTTTGTGTCAAGTCTTTGGGACTAAAACAAAAGCATTGTGCATTTCAGTTTACTGTAACTTAAGATTTTAAAAAGTGTTTTTAAAATCAGCTTTCATGCACTAATGTTAAGATGAAAATTAAAAATTATAATACAGTATCCTTTTTGATGATTAAAAAAAAATGTGTTCAGTCTTTGAAGTTTAAGGTTTAGATACTATGTTACAGTAAGAACCATTTGATGCAACCATTTAATTTAATTCCAAACAATAAAGTTAATTGTAAAGATCATTTCCAATAAAAATATCCTTGTACATGTAGAAGGACATCATACTTTTCTCTTTTTTTCTATTTATCATTAGCTTTTTCTATTTAAAACAAATAATGTAATACTTTAAAAAATTCAAACAATAATGAAAAAAAATTATATTAAATTTAGTTTCACCATAAAATAAAATATAATATAATATAATTATTATTATATTACAGTGTAAATCAATATTAAAATTCAAAATTAAAATATATTATAATTAATAATAATAATAATAATAATAATAAACTCAAAATTGTAAACAATTTTCAAATGGATAAAAAAACCTTTAATATGAAATCTGGTTTCACTGTAAAATAAATTAATAAATAAAATATATTAAAATACAAAAGTGTCTCCTAAATAAATATAATAAATAAACATATATTCAAATATATTATAAAGTGTCTGCTGAATTAATACATGTAAATATTATGTTTAAAATTAAATGCTTTTATTGTCAACCAAGTTGCTCTTACACACCCTGATGCTAATTTTACAAACTATTTTGAGATTTAAGACTCAACACACAAATACACACAGGACATTGCATAACAGTACAGCACATTACAGAAGTGAAATGGGATTTTGAAGTATCTAATTATTGGGTTGGGTTTATATATAAATAAAATATTATCTGTATTTTCCCCTTTTGCTCCAGTATTTATTTTTATTTGTTTTATTTTATTTATTGTTAAGTGTTGTACTGTGTCAACATCTGAACAAAGATTTTTTTTTTTTGTATAATGAAACGTGGCAAATAAAATGTTCAGTTAAAATATCATTTAGATACCATAGCAGTCGTATGTGAACAAGCTTGCTGTATTGGTTTCAGATTATCCAAATGAGTGCCCTAAAAGTCTTTTGTCAATTAGTTAATTATCTGTCCTATGAAGGTAGTAATTGGATTACACGTGAATCTGTGTTCCTATTAAAGCCACTGTTAGTGTGGTTGTTTGTCTGTTGTTGACCTAACACTTAGTTGCCAATAATATTACTGGGACGCAATGTAGTGTCCTGATTCAAAAGGTAGGAGAGTTTGGACACGTGGGCTACAGCATATCACTATGACTCACATGCATATTTGACTTAAAATAACTGCAAGAACAAACACACACACACACTCCTATATGTGCTATATCCAGTCCTGTAATGGGAATCAAGGTTTAACCCCTTAGCATTCCTGTTAATTTTTTTTTTTGTTTAGAACTTTTTATAATACACATACAAATTACGAAAAGAAAAGACTCAAAGAGCTACTCAGCTATTTGTCTTTTCTCCAGAAACATTTATATGCTTTCAATGCGTAATTTGTATGTGCCATTAACACAGGTCCAACCCACAAAGACAATATTTATAGAATGTTAATGTCAAGGTTATTCTAGAAAACTAATTCTTTTACAAAGAAATATAAGTATTATATATTCATTTTATATTGTTGTTTATTTTCTAAATGCTATTTCAGATTACATTTTGCTATATGGTAAATTGGTGCATAATTTGTTTCTTTAAATATATTTACATCTTCCATTTTGAACACTTGTTGCTTCTCTTCATTGCTTTTATGTCATTTTTTAAAGTTATATTTATGGGCTTTTTATGCCTTTATTGTGAGAGGACAGTGGAGAGCTGACAGGAAAGCACTGGGAGGAGAGAAGGGAGCAGGATCGGCAAAGGACCTCTAGGCGGGATTCGAACTCGGGTCGCCGTGAGCGCAGTTGCACTATATGTCGACACACTAATCACAAGGCTGTGGGCACCGACTGCTTTTATGTCTTATTAAAAAATATCTTCTTAAAAAAATAAACACGATACTCTTTTTTTCATTTTAAGTGCATTCACATTTCGTTAATGTCTGAAAATTAATAAAGAGCTATGAAAATAAGTTGAAATTTTCTGTTCACATGGAACCATCCAACAGAACAGATATTATAAAATATGTTAAATTACAATTAATAGTTTAAAAAATATTTTAATGAAAAAAAAAAATATATTATTACTGATTGCTTGTTGCCTGCCTGAATACCTCAAACCTGATTTTGTTACTTCATTGTTAGCTTGTGGTTGAGCAAATTGGATAATTTGATTGTCATTCTAAATTAGTAAATCTGTAAATCTTTTTGAAGACTTTCAGAGGAAAAGCATTGTTAGACAGCAGCCCATCTTTTGCCAAAACAGGGAAATTAACATGTGGTTTCCTCAAAGAAAGAGTACCAATAATTAAAATTCTGTCATCTTTTAATGAGCTTTATGTTGTTAAAAACAACTTTCTATCTTCAGTGAAACACGCAAAAAAAAAAAAAGATGTAGACATACTCAGTCACAATTTACTTTCATTGTATGTTTTTCTATACAATGAAAGTGAAAGGAATGAGCCTGTAATTCTGCCAAACATCTCCATTTGTGTTCCACAAAAGAATGTAATACAGGTTTGGAGCATAAGATTACAGTATGACTTGAGGGTATGTATCATCCTCAGGACAGGTTCATCATTATAACGCTATTATTCTTGTTTTAATATATGTATATTATACTCACCTTTGCTTGTTTAAGGAACAATGTACCTGTTTATTTCCTATTTTGCCTTTCAAGCCTTATTTTTACCTCAGAAAATTGACCTCAAACATTCTCCCCTCCCCCACCACATACAATAAAGAAAAACACGGGACGGAGTTTCCTGAGGATGGTGGATTCAGTCTCGTGTGGATTTTTCAGATCGGTTTACCCAACTGTCCTCAATGAGCAAGTGTGTTCGTTGTATTACATTGAACAGCACACCGTTAACGCGTGTGGGTATATGTGTGAGTTGTTTTAGTGTGCGTCTGTTGTCATTTTAGGACTGAAATTACACAAAGCATTCAGACCTCAATATCATGGCTTTTTACAACTCATGAAGTGGATTTTCCCGCACGGAATGGATCGAACGGAGCCATGCGCTCCTGTTCCACTTGTCGCGGGAAACCCACCTCTCGCATCACATCTGAATGCAAAACGCAATGTGCTTTCGCTCTCACGCCAGACTATTAAAGTGGGCAAATCAGACTGTGAAGTTCAGGCGACGGTGGGTAGGTTTACAAGCACCAGAGGCCTATCAGAAAGGGTAGACCTTGCTTCAAGTTCTCTTTTTTTAGACCGCACTGTCCCTTTTAAAGCTCGCCGCCACGCCTCTTCGCAAACAACCCCGCCTACTTATAGACAAACCGCCGTGCTGATTGGACACCGGCGGCGGTCATCGAACGCCTTCTCTGCTTCTCATTGGCCAGCCGCTGCCTTTCGCTTCAGGCTCTCGCGGGGCTGCTGTGCGAAGATGGCGGCCGAACTGGTAGAAGCGATGGTGAGTAGATGAGATTTTTTAAAATAGTGAAAGTAAAAGGAGCCAGGCGAGTTAGAAGCGGTGCTTATTCAAACAACGTGAGTTAAATTTCATACTGTCGTATTTGGTGCTCATTCAGGACAAGTGGCAGTCTGTAAAGTGCGTTGGCAATATGTATAAGTGTGTATGTAAATGATTGTGTGTCAAAACCCAGTGAGCTGTTTATGTATCCAGCATATCTGGCGCGTTCTAACGTTAGATTCGAGTTTTTGAACGTTCCGAATGTGCATTTGATGTCCGAAACGCAGTTTGGTTAGACAGCTCACCAGGCTTTGAGACCAAAGCTAGTGTGTCTGTGTGCGCGGGGGCGCGCTGCCTGTGGAAGTGAATGATTAGTCTGCACAATACAAAATAACAAAACAGTCTCTGCCTTTTCAAATCACACGTGCATTTTATCCATGTAGCTGTAAAAATCAACACAATTCCACACTTTGCAGTGCTGTATGTTAATGTGTAGGTATATAGTCACTTGCACAAATGATGCATGTGTGTTGCATTAAAAGATAAATAATTTTCATTTGTGCAAGACCGTTTTACTACTGAATAGCAGCAGATGATCGCAGCCATGCTGATATTCAGTAGTGCAGCATAATTACGAACATGCCTTGAACCTCATATTGTTTTACCTGTTTTGCAGAACTGATTTCTGTGTAACGTTAGTGTTTATAAGGAGAGTGTCATTGGCCTGCAGGGGTTCAGTCATAGTAAACTAGAGATTGAGGTCATTTTGAAGCTTGAGGATTGTCTTGGCATTGAATTTGGAAAGTTAAAAAAATATAAACAACTTTTAAAAAGTATTGTGAATTTTTAGTAATTATGAAATTTTAGTAGATGCTTTTATTTTAAGCAACTTTATGTACACCTAATATAGAGAAAATGAATATTTGTTGCGGAAGTTATGTACGATAAACATTTGAATTTGAATTTATGGCTGTTAATGTGTCTATTTAGACTGGGATGAATAATCGCATGCACCAGTGGGACAGATTTTTTACAGAGAGGTGTTTTAATCTCTTTTACAACAAATTGCGAAGACAACTGGCCAACCAATAAGATTCCAACCAACCAATAAGACATAAAACTATAATTTTGTGGCGCTCATGGACAGAGTATTCTGCTGAGCAACAGTGAATAGCAAATGAAGAATCCAGACGTGGCATTCCTGTATTTGGTGTTTATTGACTGACTTTTCTGTGACAAGCGGTTTAGAAATAGTTGCGCAGAGCTGCTTTGTGTACCTGTCAAAAACCATTGTATTTCTGCTTTTCTATCACATGTGAAAACTGGAAGGTATTTTAATGCCCAACATTTGAGCTGGTGTGAACAGGTCCCTGGTTCTTGATTTGTTCTCTTTTGGGAATCGAACCCACAACCCTTTGGTTGACAAGCCAGATATTGAACTCTTCGGTGCATTTCCCCGTTTCTCATTCTCATGGGCTGTTTTTGTCTCCCCAGAACATGGTGAAGAGTTTCCGGGTGTCTGATCTGCAGACGCTGCTGGCCTCAATGGGCCGCAGCAAAAGTGGGTTGAAGCAGGATTTAGTGGGAAGAGCTCTTCGGCTTGTGCAGACCGAATACAGTCCGGAGCTGCTAAAGAACGTTCGACAGCTCTATGAGACGCGCTTCCCCAAAGCCTCGGCCTGGCTGGCAGCCCGGCGGCCTGAGTCCGTGCCTGTAAACTACCCTGCCCTTAACTCCTCGCCCAGAGGCACGGCCCAGGGCACCGACTACCTCAACGGCATCCCCAAACCGGCGCCGCCTCCTGCAGCAGAAGTCAAATTGGTGCCCCTGCCGTTCTACCACAACCTAGAAACGCTGCTGCCACCCACAGAACTAAGTGAGTCCCATTATCATGAATAAATAATAGCCCAATTATAATAGGTGTGTCTAGCCGATGAGGAGGAAATCCATTGAGCTAATTCTGTTTTTGCCACTCTTTGCAGTCGCTCAGAACAGCGAGAAGCTGCAAGAGAGTCAATGCGTTTTTGAATTAACACCAAGTCAAGTGGAACAGATCCGGAACTCTAGGTAAGAAATGTACAAGTCATCTTGTTAATTGGTGGATTTATTTAGCAGTCAATCGATGGCCAATAATAACAATGCTGATGTTCAGGAAATTAGGGTGCATTGTTAATGTAATTTAATGATAGATAATGAGCAGGCCTATGTGGATGATGAGTGTGCAGAACAGATATTCACAGACGCCCAACGTTCACGTTTCAACACGCCTTCACTTTTTTTTAATTTTTATTTTGGCTACACTTATTTATAATTAAACGTATCTTAACTATGAGGATTTAAAAATAGATATACAACTTATTTTTAGTAAGAATAAAAAATATATATTTTTATGGAAATATTTATATATTCTTTGCAAGAAAAAAAGCTATTTTTTCATTTGCAGTAACAACTTGAAATTATACAGCTGTAAAGTCATAAAATAATATTTATGCTAGAAAAGGTTCCAGTAAGAATGATTTTTTTAAGCACGATTAACTCCATTAGACACAATCTCAGTTTTTTCTCTAAAAATTGCTTTGTGTTATGTTTATATAATATTTAAACTATGTAATATTAATTTACAAATTAAAATATAGCCTACCATTATTATTTATTGGCAATTACTTTTGATTAATGTTGACAAAATATCCAAATATCAGTCAATGAGTACCTGGCTGTTTTTGTTTTTTTTACTGAAAATACAAAAGAATATAAAGCATCTTTAAATGTGTTTACTCACAATATTTTTTGTACCTGCTAATGCACAGTGAACTTCGCCCAGGAATGAAATCAGTTCAAGTGGTTCTCAGGTACGTCATTCAGCTAAATCATGTCTGTACATCACGTTTTGGCGTCAGAGATGCATTTATTGCATGCTAACATGTCCTGTTCTTCTCCTAGAATCTGCTACACAGACTCTATCGGTGTTCAGGAGGACCAATATCCTCCCAATATTGCTGTGAAAGTGAATCAGTCCTACTGTCATGTACCGGTAAGTGTTGTGAATTTGATTAGGCTGAAAGAACAGGGAGTGTGGTGGTTTCACCACTCAGGATGATCGTAAATCTAAACCGCTTTATATAAATAAACTTTTAAGCATTTTCTCAGCATCACATAAGCAATACACCAGTGTTATTTTAAAATTTAGAATTAACTTTCTGAATGCGTCTGTTGTGGGTTAAATGGTTTTCTTAGAATGTTGTATGTCTTGTTGCTGTAAATTATGAATTTGATTATTTATATTACTACTTTTTGTTCAGGGTTACTATCCCTCCAATAAACCGGGTGTTGAGCCACGTCGACCCTGTCGACCTGTCAATATCACGCCATGGTTACACCTCTCCACAGTCACTAACAGAGTCACCATCACATGGGGCAACTTTGGAAAGGTACAGAGACTTCATACAAAGAGCTATCGGTATTTATGAATGAACCTGTTAGATGAAGTTGAGTGTGTTCTTGCTGACCGCTGTGTTTTGGATGCAGCGGTACTCGGTGGCAGTGTACCTAGTGAGGGTGTTCACATCTGGAGAGCTCTTCAACCAGCTGAAGCATTGCTCAGTTGAGAGTCCCGATCGTTGTCGCGAACGCAGTAAGTTTCTCACCTTGACCAAACACACTTGGGTTACACTTGAAACCCTGTAAGTAAAACAGTAGCAAAAAACAGTTGAAATAATTTGCATATGTGTTTTTTTTATGTATTCTCAGGCTTTTAATTAATAAAACGAATTAATCACAACAAAAAAGTGGTTCACTGTAATAGTTCCTTGCATTCACAACCTTCATTTATTAATACATTTTTTTCATAAAGGAACCTTTTAACAATTTGCTATGTGGTAGTTTCAATTCCCACTAAAGAGTCAGGTTATATATAAACACTAATCACTATTTATTTGAATAATACATTCAAAAGT